ACCTACCTACCTACCTACCTGTCTATCTATCGACCTACATGTGTCTATCTATGTGTCTGTTTATGGATCTGTCTACCTATCTATCTATCTATCTATCTGTCTGCCTATCTATCTATCTATCTATCTATCTATCTATCTATGCGTCTACTTATCGACTGTTTACCTATCTATCTGTCTATCTATCTTTCTATCTATCTGTCTATCCGTCTATATCTATATCTCTATCTCAACCAATCTATCTACGGTTGAACCTCGGAATATCAACCACAGAAAACTCAGGCCTCTACTTTGTCAGCACCTCAGAAAGCTGTGGCTGAGGTTTTCAGATCATTTTTGCCTGAATCGTTCGCGAAGCCTCAGAGGCCAAAAGTACCCAGGTTGGGGCAAGAAAGAGTTCTATAAGCGGCTTGGAAAGGGTGCGATAAGGAGCTTGTGAAGGGATGTAACGACAGATTCCGCACTTTTACGGCTTACTGAATAGTGACTATCCCTGAACGCATAGGCAGTGAGACGCACTGGAAGCTTCCGTCTTTGTAGGACGCAGCTGCAAGGCTGCAACGGGGCAACACTGAACTGAATGCCTCGCCCTGCTACGATGCTCTATCACTTGGAGGCCCAGGCGCCTTAGTAAGTAGGTTATAAGTAGAGTTATAAGTGCCCTAAATAGAGTTACCCTAATTTTAACTTTATGTATAAACGACTTACTAAGTCCCCTGGGCCTCTAAGTAGGGTAGAGAGGCTCCGAGAAGATTGAGTCTTCAGATTGTGAAGCGGACAAGCTGCCTTTAGGCGTAAGTTGTTCCCAATCACCCAGCGGTTTGCCCTGCTGACGAAAGTGCAAGGGTACATCTTGAGATACAGAACCTAAACCCTAAACCCTAAACCCTAAACCCTAAACCCTAAACCTCTGAATCCTGAAGCCTCTACCCCGATCTACAAACTTTAAGCAAGCCCGGAAGCCACCCCACACCTGCCAGCTAATCCCATTACAGGGCCCTTGAGACATGAAGAGACAAACTAAAGCTGTAAAGGGTGCTTGGCGGAGTTGTCGGACATGACAGACATATTCCAACCACGACTGCGGCAAGGTCTACGTACAGCCACTATACCACTGCCCCTGCTGATGCTAGCTACCGTGATTGTTGCTAGCCAGCTACTAAGACGACGAACAGGAATAATCATCCATGTCAGAAAGAAGGGAAGGCTGATCGCACAAGCAATTGTACCTGTATGTTTGTCATCTTTTTGGCAGAGGTGCTCGTCAGCAGGAGGACAAGAAGCGTCGTGACCCACACCTTGCGGGCGTGTCAGGAGGTCGAAACATTGGACTGTGAAGCTTTAGATGGTTTTGTGTCCAGCTTTCTCTACGTAGCCCTGCAACAACGTTTGCATGTAGGGGTTACAGTTAAGGGTTTGTCCAGTAGAGGGTGGAGGGTTGAGGGTTTTGAGGCTTGTGGCCGATAGGATGTGTAGATTTGGCGTCTCACGCCTTTTGGAAATCTTCCTATGGGCAGTGAGGGCCAGGAATGGAGCTGTTATCCACTTGATTGAAGAGCTTCAGGGTGAGGATAATACTTTCCTATGTGAGGGGACTTGTGAAAGCAGCTCAATACTGGATACCACCGTCCTTGCAACATGCGCTGCTCTCCGCGATGTTGCACTTCGTACTGCCAACATACTGATACTGTTCCGCCCATAAACCCTGCGATCCTTCTCTTTGGCTTTCATTTGGTCACTGCGAAGACTGCATCTCCCCAAAACCAATATTCAACTGCTGGGGTCATTGACCGGAGTTGTGTATCATTAAACGCAGCCAACCGACAGTGTTGATGCTGATGTGTTAGACCCCCATGTTTCTGGAAGTCCGACTTCGAATCAGCCACAGGTCCTAATTAGTATTGAACTAGTCGCTGTAGTAGGAGAGGCAACTATAGTAGTCGTCGTCGTAGTAGCCACTATAGTCACTAGCACGCGGACTTGCAAAGTGGCAAAAGCATATCAACGTATGTCCGACCACCTGCAAAATAGTGCTGGCTGCGGCTCATGAACCAAGAAGGATTTACTAGTGGTGTGTCCCTGGTAGGCCCTATATACTTACAAAACGCCGCCCCTTGAAGAAACATGGACCAAAAGAGTCCTAAGTGCCTATATCGTAGGAGCAAAGTTTTCTATCTTAGGAATGCTTCTTATAATTATGATTTCGATGAGTATCCTGCGCAGCAGTGGCCCTGCCTCCCAAACACTGTAACACCCTATATAAACCCTGAACCCCTAAACCCTAAACCACAAACCCCCAAACCCAAAGCCCTTAAACCCCTAAACCACTAAACCCTAAACCCCTAAACAACTAAACCCCCCCAAAGCCCCTAAACCCCAAAATGTTCCTAAATCCTGCCTCCCAGACCATGGTCGCCACCAAAGACAGGTCGAAGCAGAAGCTGAAGTCCTGTAGAGGTTCCAGGTCTTCCAAGGTTTAGGGGTTTAGGGTTTAGGTTTTAGGCCGTATAAGGGTTTAGGGGTGTAGGGATCCCTTAAGTAAGAAATATACCTTAAATCATAGTGGGGATCCTACTACATGTTGTTTCGAGTATATTCCTTAATTAAGGTATATACGAAATCCTCCAGATGCTCAAACGCTGAACTTATGAAGGGTTTAGGGTCTGGGGTTTAGGGCTTTCAGGTTCAGGGGTTTAGGAGAATATGCTCAAGTTCCAGAAGGCTTCTATTTATAGTAAGGATCTTACAGGAATTCGGGGTTTAAAGCTTAGTGGCTTAGTGTTATATCCGGAAACCTGACTTCTTAGAACCTATGCCGGAATCCGCTTAGACATTGCCGGCGAGCTTGTGGGGAATGCGGGGATGCGGGATTCTGGTGTCATGCAAAACCCTAACCTTTAGGCCCTAAGCCCTAAACCCTAAACCCTAAAACCCTAAACCCCAAACCCCTAAACCCAAAACCCAAAACCCCCTAAACCCTAAACCCTAAACTTGAGGCCCTAAACCCTAAACCGAAGAAGGCTCCTGAGCTGTTGGTGCTTGGGTTTCAGGCTGTCGGATGGAAGCTCGGGGCCTTGGGAAAGCGTTCGAAACCCTGCGCCGCAGATTGCAAGCACACGCATACTCATGCATGGTGTATGTATATCTAGTTATATATATATATATATACATATATGTACATATATGCATATATAATCATAAATAGTTCTATATAATTATTATACACCCCCGGGCTGAAAGTTTCGACACGCAGCCTATCCTCAGAAGAACATGAACACGCGCCGCGGAGGAGCGGAGAGACCCAACACCCGTTTTACGTGGCCAGCATAGCGGAGTAGCTGTACTACTATATAGTCTCCGGCGGAGAGCTGCGGTTGGTTGTGCTAGGAGTCCACGGGGGAAGAGGGGTGGGCATGTGGTGCTCTGTCTTAATTTGATGCTGTGTGGCGAATTTTCGTCCTGCAGCAGTATATAACTTTATAAACCTTCAACAAACTACACACAATATATATATATATATGTATATATATATATATACATACATACATAGTATACATCCGTATAGACATACATGCATGCATACATACATACATACATACATACATATATATGTATGTATATATATATATATGTGTGTATATATATATATATATATGTATATATATATATATATATATTTATTTATTTATTTATTTATTTACATACTAAATACACAC